TGCAATTTTATGCATTTCTCAATTTGCGTGTCAACCTTATGCGCTGTATTCGTTCTTTAGTTAAACAGAAAAAAGATCAGTGCGCTGGGTTCAACATGACATGCCGCCATGTCCAAGCTCATCATCCAGAGTAGTAGCTACGACGGCCTTCTCCTCCCATCACACCCATGGTCAGCTTCTACCAGTTTTGACAGTACTTTACATGTCCAAGCTCGTCATCCAGAGTAGTAGCTACGACGGCCTTCTCCTCCACACCCATGGCCAGCTTCTACCAGTTTTGACAGTACTCTACATGTCCAAGCTCGTCGTCCAGAGGAGCTATGGCGGCCTTTTCCTCCCATCACACCTATGCCCAGCTTCTACCAGGCTCAACAGGACTCTACGACTCCCACTTTTTCAAATAAAACCTGATCTATGCCAACAATAAAAACACCTTTAAAAAAAAAAAACACAAAGAAACCCCTAAACCCTAAACCCTGAACGTAAATTGCTGGTGGGAAAACCCCTAAACCCAAAACTTGTCCAAAGAAAATCCTATCCATACTAATCACTAACCCCTAAACCCTAACAAACCCCTCAAACCAACCGTGTCCAAACAAAAGCCTATCCATACTAATCCATAACCCCTAAACCCTAACCCAAGGCTTTGCTGGCGGGAAAACCCCTAAAACCTGAATCCAGCCCCAAAAGCTTTGCTGGCGGGAAAAACCCTAAAACCCAACCCCGAACTCCGAACCCCTAAAACCTGAACCCAGCCCCGAAAGCTTTGCTGGCGGGAAAACCCCTAAAACCCAACCCCAAACCCCTAAGCGTACAATTCAAATCCGACTATGTTTACAGTCATCTATTCAGCTTAATTTATGGTACCCCTCCTGACTAGCACCCTGCATCCGGCCATGAAATGGTATCTGTGAGGACGAACTCGGTTGTCCGTACAATCATGGTTATCTCAAACACAAAACAAAAGGTTATCGGACAGAGCATGAAGCTATAACATGACGTCCGTAAGGACAAACTTGCTTATCAACTTCTGTGCTAAAACCCAGAACCCACTGTTTTTTCACAGTCAACAATTCACCGAACGCTGACAAAGCACGCCACCATCACACGACTTAGATATGAATAAATCTGACTAATGTTGGCTATTCACTCAATCACTAGGAAGACTGTCACGCCCGGCCTGGTACTCGGGCGTGACGCCTGGGGTACCCGTGCGTGCAAAAAAACAAAAAAAAAAACTTTAAAAAAATTTGTTTTTTGGTTTTCTGCGCTCTCCGAGAGGACTCCGGGCTATTTTCTTGTCTCGAGTGTTGGCTGTCAAGGGTGGGGGAAGGGGGGTATAATTAGTTTTAAAGGGGCTAAAGGGGTTTAAACCATACTTGCGGCGCATCGACATGCGCTGCACCGCACACACGCACCGCACAACTCACGGCACGCGCACACTGGGTGCAGCGCACCCCGAAAGTAAGGGGTCGAGAAAAAAAAAAAAGTTGGGGACGGGTGTTTTAGGCCCGAGTGGGATGTCGCGTCATTAACTACAAAAAATAAAAACAAAAATTTGAGGCCGCGCGGGGCCTCCGAAAAAGAAAAGGGGGGAAGTTAGTTTTTTTGTTTGTGTTTGTGTGTGTGCGTGTGTGTGTGTGTGTGTGTGTGTGTGTGTGAGAGAGAGAGAGAGAGAGAGAGAGAGAGAGAGAGAGAGAGAGAGAGAGAGAGAGAGAGAGAGAGAGAGAGAGAGAGAGAGAGAGAGAGAGAGAGCTCGTCCGCACGTCTGATCAGGGAGGGAAGGGGGGAAAGTGGTCGCGTGAAGGGGGGAAAGTGATCGAGGGAAGGCTGGATGGTGGGGCGTCGAGGTCAAGAAGGAGACGTGCTGCCCCCCAGAAAAAGATGGTGGTTATATTTTTCCCAAAAACAGAAGTATGAAGAAGATAATGTATTTACCTCGTAAGAGAAGGCAATCGGTGTTTAGGGGGAGGGGGGTTGAGATGACCACTACCATCTTTCCTGGAATAGAGCGTGCGGTATTGCTGTATCCGGACTGATACTTGCCACAAGTACAGCAATAATAACCATGTGTTTTATGTGCCAGACTATGCGCGGGGCAGATGGCAGGGGAAGAGGTGGCGACAGAGATGAATTATAATTAAAAACGTTGGAGGATTCAAAACATCGCGGCATTTTTTACGTGCATCCCTTCTCATGTTATACATGTACTCCATACCACACACACGTGCACAGAGAGAGAGAGAGAGAGTGAGTGAGTGAGAGAGAGAGAGAGAGTGAGAGAAACACGGCCAGTGCAGCGTATTCCCTTCACAGTGAGAAAGGAGGACTTTCGGATGAGGCGCCTGGTAGCGCCACATTCAAGAAAGCCCACCTTCTCTCCTCATGCTCGTCCTCCCATGTACTTGCCTCCGACTTCTTCCTCCTCCCCCACCATCTCCATCTCTTTATCGTCCTCCTTGTCCAAGTGCTCCCACTCGTCCTCCTCGTCAACGTGCCCCCACTCCCATGGCGCGACATTTGAAACGCCCACCTCCTCTCCTCCGTTCTTCCCTAAGTCCTCCTCCTCGCTGTCGACCTTGCCCCTCTTCTCCACCTCCTCCTCGTCGACCTTGCGGCTCTCTTCCACCTCAGACATCTTAATGCCGCCATTGTCAAATTTTTCCCGCTCTGCCACCATCCCGCTCCTTGCTCGCATCCACATTCTGGGCCCCATCATTGTCCACCACCTGCCACGCCGGGGACAACAAACGAATCCCTGCAAATGGGACAGGCCCTACAAGCCCCCTTTTTCCCGATATCCCTTCCATGTGCACATTCGCGCCGCACCGACGCTCCTCTCTTACCTCCTTTCCTTGCGAATGCGCTGTCGACAGCCCCACCTTCCTCATCTCTCCTCGTTTCCACTCCTCTCTTGTCCTCCCTCCTCCTTTCTTGTCCCTCCCACTCTATCTTTTTTCACACAGTTGTGCGTCGCCCTCATCTCTTCTCCTCCCTCCTCCTTTCCTGTGCCCCTCCCCCTCGATCGCCTTTCCCTCTTCACTTCTCCTTCCTCCTCCTTTCCTCCACCGCTACTGCTCGATCATCTTCCACACTGTCGTGCGTTCCCCTCCTCTCTTCTCCTCCCTCCTCATTTCGTCTACCCCTCCCGCTTGATCGTCTTCGACAGTGTCGTCTGCACGTCTTCCGTGTCCTTTGCCTCCTGTGACTCGCCTTCCCCGTGTGAGATGGCATCTCCAGCAACTGTGATAGGATAGCGTGTCTACTCCCCCGATAGCGCATGTCTGAATACCACTGATCGCTGTCCCCATTCGAATGTGTGTGGGCCCGCCGCCTCACTGCCCTCCCGATGGTGATTCGCATGTCTCTGGGTCCGCCTCTCCACAGGCCCCCCGATGCTGGACGTTTCCAGAAATCCAGGCCCCGGGGGCGGTCAAGTTTGAGTTGGGACCAGCCTTAGGCCCCGACCTTTTTTCCCAAGACTGACAAGCCAGGTCGCACATGGAGCGTCATGCCGACTCATGCGAGACCTGCTATTCACTTAAAGGTAGTAAGGCCCTGTAAGGTTTTTTTTTTTTTTTTTTTTTTTTTTTTTTTTTTTTTGCCTGGCCGAGCAAGTGGTCCCGGGCCACTCCGGTAGCTTAGATTTGCATTGCAGTTCTACACAACATTCTTTTTTGAAGTTTTTTCCGTAATCTTTTTATTTTTCCTCTTTTTCGCGCTGGGGGTGCCCAGAACCCTGCCTGCCAGTGCCTGGGGGTCATGCCTGGCTGGGTACTCGGGGTGTGTATCCAGGCACAAGTTGGGTACCCAGGCGCTGGGCAAAACAGCATAGCTCAATGATCCTTTTTTTTTTTTTTTTAATCCATAGAATCCTCTTAATTGTCCATATTGGATACAAAATTTAAAAATGGCATGCACATCACTAACCGTGTCGTCCAGTTACGATCTCCATTGAGTCTCCAACAACAAAGCCTGTGACAGGGACGCTTAACCCCCAACTAAAGTAAAAGAGAACAGAACTGATACAAACAAAGACGTCACTGTGGGACCACAACTGGTGTCCCAAATAAGGTGTGAGGAGGGACCCTTGCCAGTGACCACTCGTTCCCTTTCCCTTTTTTTCAGGTTCAAAAAAAAAAAAAAAACTGCCACCTGGCAGTTGCTCATTGATACGTTTGAACGTTGGATGACATTACACGTTTATAGTTCTTTATACTACTTCATAGCCCAAGATGCTCCTTGAAAGGCTCTTAAGTTTCACGGCCGTTCTTCTTTTTCAAACAAAAATTACAAAATAGAATTTAAAAAAAAAGAAAAAAAAAACCTGCCACCTGGCAGTTGCTCATTGATACGTTTGAACGTTGGATGACATTACACGTTTATAGTTCTTTATACTACTTTATAGCCCAAGATGCTCCTTGAAAGGCTCTTAAGTTTCACGGCCTTTTTCTTTTTCAAACAAAATAGAATTGTGCGAGGATTGAGCCCTCGCAGGGGCCCTATCGGCCATGCAAGTGTTCAGGGCTGCGGCCCCCAGCAAGCCTCGTGCCTGTGAGGCCAATTTCGGACGTTTTACGCATACCAGATATCAGACAGTTGCAGCACTCCAGTTGGTTACAAAGCAACGTGAGCCTTTCGTGCTTCCTTCCAGAAGCTGTAGCTGCGTCGAACAGTTGAGCCCAGGGCTCAGGCGGTTGCGCCCTGGGCACAGACACTCAGAGGCCGACACATCATGGAAAGGCCGCGGACCAATGAGAATGCAGCATTGTGGTCACACATCGACCATGGGCCAATGAGATAGCGGCGAACACTTGAGGGTGGCTCTGCCTGAACGTAGCTAACTGCATGAGGCCCAGGCCAGTATCTGAAACTGGGACTGGGCGCAGACACTTGGGGCCAGACTGAAGCCACTGGGGCCCTACACGCCTGGCCAGGCCAGCCAGCAGTGGGCACACTTTCCATAAAGGAAAGTGTGAGCACCCTGGGCACGGCATTCTGGCCTGCCGAGGCATTGCAGCCACGCTGCTGCGGTGTCGATTGAGCGCTGCTTAGCGCTGGTAGGCTGGGGCGCATACGGGCGCTGAGAGGTGAGAGGGCACTGTGGTGGCAGTGGGCGCATGGCGGCCATAGCCGGGCAGCGCGTGCGGTGGCAGGTAACGGTGATGGTGATCTTCGGGTAGGAGGCCCATGCAGAGGTGGTCAAGGGGTGATGAGGGGAGGAGAGAGAACGTACCTCGTGTATGCTGGCGGTCGGCATTGGTGATGACGTCACGTACATTGTTCTTCAGCTGCGATGTCATCTGGTTGCAAGAACATAGATAGGTGTAGATAGGCTGAGTAGAGAGGCTGTGCGCTGGGGCCCACATAGTAGGAGCGACATTGGATACTGTGTTGGTGTGACCAGAGAGTGGCGACATTGACATACGAGTTCATTGTTGGACGGTATCTTGGTGCATTGTGCTCTCTGCTTGGTACATAACTATCTTAGCTACTTCGTGCTTTTGCAACTTGGTTTTCTGTCTATCGCTCTCGCTCATGTTCCTTGCAATTGGATAAAAGTTACCATAAAACACAAAAAAAAAAAATACAAAAAAATTGAGATAGTCAGCTTGCCCTCCCCTGTTTGCTTGCTAGGGGGGCTTGGTACCTTCCATTCCTTGCCAGGGGTTAGGTTCAACCCTGAGGAGATAGACTCAACCCTGAGGGGATAGGTGCAACCCATAGCATTTAGTGTAGCTTAGCCCTAACCAGTAGATTCAGCACCCCACGTGGAACATACAAGATATCTGGATTATCCTCCTAGTCGTCGGTATAGGTAGGTAGGTATAGGTAGGTAGGTAGGTAATGGGAGGTATAATGAGAGAAGAATATAGGAAAAGAAAAGAAGCGAATAAACCATAGGGAGGGCGAGGAGGGAGGATAAAAATTCATAAAATCGAAATGACGAAACCTCAAAAGCATAACCGACAAAACTAAGGAGCAACCCACCCCGGCCCCCCCAACCCAAAAAAAAAAAAAAAAAAAAAAACTAAGCACCACCAAAGGCATCCCAACTTACTTGGCTTCCAGAAGTTTAGCATTCTCCCTCTCTACTTCTGCGTCTGTTGTAATGATGCAGTTTGTCGCTGCGAATGGGAGAAAAAACAGTCCCACAAACACAGAGCAGTGGCATCATCGACTCGTTAGGGCAACACACTATTTATCTCACTACCAATCTTGGTAAACCACTGATATCAACACCCTTCCTCCGAAACCGGCAGCCATGAAAAATAATGCTGTGCTTTTGATATAGCTGCTTGCCTGCACCTGGTCCAACATGTACTCCATGGGAAAAGTTCCAGAGCACGACAGGACGGGGCATAGAGGGGTTCAGAACAAAAGGGTTGGAACTTGGAGGGGTATGGCGTTATTGCACCTATGGTTCTCCCCCTATTAAATATTTCGGGGGTCGTGAGACACATGAACAGCCCTGTATGTCAAGAAGAGAGAGAGAGAGGACAGAGAGAGAGAGAGAGAGAGAGAGAGAGAGAGACAGAGAGAGACAGAGAGAGGGAGAGAGAGAGAGAGAGANGAGAGAGAGAGAGAGAGAGAGAGAGAGAGAGAGAGAGAGAGAGAGAGAGAGAGAGAGAGAGAGAGAGAGAGAGAGAGCATGTCACAGAGAAAGAGAGAAACGGCCATGCATGTGTGTGTCAGATGTAGACACAGTGGTCACACAGATCATTGCTGTGTTTTAGGATGGACACCACTGTTTCGACTGCATCTAGTAGAGTTAGTATGCCCTTAAGAGTTAAAACCACCACTACCTTTCCCAGGCAACGTCGAGAACCGAAAATGTGACATTCCAGGTTCTTCGGATGAACAGTGCTACCGGACCACAATGGCTCGCGGCACCAGCCGAAGGAAGAAAAAAAAGGCCGCACTGCTGCTTCGGCAAAGCTTGGCACGCAGTGCTTTTCTGCCTCGGCAAAAAGAGCCTGAAAACCACCACTACCTCTGAGCCTCTTTTTGTCCAGGTGGAACGAACTGCGTGCCAAGCTTTGCCAAAGCGTCACCATGGTGTTTTTGTTTTTGTCTTTCGGCTAACCAGTGACCACCACTACCTCCGAGCCTCTTTTCGTCGATGCGGAAAAGCAACTGCAAAAATTTCGCTGAAACTGCCATATTTCCCTGAATTTTTGCTTTTTTTTTCGTTTTTTTTTGTCCGATATGTATAAGCTTTAGGGTATACCTGTCACCTGTGTTCAGTTTCGGCGTATTTGGACGAGTAACGAAAAAGTTGGCAAAAACACCGAATTCGGGAACGTTCTGGCGAACTTTGAAAGCTACTTCGAATAGGGTTTCATAGTGCTGTTCAAATATTTTTTTTCGGTTTTTTTTGCCTGTTTGTTTTTTTGGTGTTTGTATTGCGAGCCTGCATAGTTTGTTTACAAAAGTTTCGACGGCATTGCTTGTAGTGATGCGGCGAAAAACCCCGAATTTTGGGCCTTCCATTAACTGCGTGTCGAAGTTTTGCCGATGTGCCAGCATAGCGCCGTTTTTTCCTTTGGGCTGGCGCCACCAGCCATTGAGGTCCGGTAGCACTGCTCATTCGAAGAACCCGGAATGTCACATGTTCAAATTCTCGATGTTGCCTGGGTCAGGCAGTGGTGGTTTAAAGTTCACATCTCCAGCGTTATGCATGTCTTAGGCACGGGTATCCGTAATGAGTCCAGCGCAGTAGGCTGGTTAGGCACGCACCGGTGGAGAGATGAAGGGTATCATTATTATCAGTCAGGTGCAGCTAGTTCCATCTGCTAGATCAACCATGAAGTGGGGAGAGAGAGAGAGAGAGAGAGAGAGAGAGAGAGAGAGAGAGAGAGAGAGAGAGAGAGAGAGAGAGAGAGAGAGAGAGAGAGAGAGAGAG